GTGCAGATGATAAACAACAATATAAAATATATGGTAATAATTGCCATAGATGGATAAGAATACCATGAACAAGAATGAAGTATGATGATTACATTGAGTTATGCAAAAGATGCCTACTGCTACTTAAGGGAGAAATTAGACAGACACATAAAAATATTTAAGACTAGTTGTGCTCTAATTTTTTTGTGCTATGTAGTACTGCATATGTAAGATACATACAGAATATTCACCACTGCACATTCTCATAAAACAATAGTGCTGAAAATGCCTGCAAGTATTACAGCAAATAGAGTCATTATAGGCAGTCAAATCAGCTGCATATTATCTAATTGACCATAGTTCACAAAGGTTAATGTTTGAAAGTAAAAGATAAGGGTAAACATTCTCCTTCAAAGTGAAGAAACACAAACACAAATAGCTTCATGTGGCTCAGTTACTCTAATCATCCCCTACCCATTCAAAGAATGTCTTTGAAGGACTACTTCCACAACCCATGGAACCTTTGTCCCCCTACAAGTGTAGTGACAAGGTAGTCACTAGGCTCAATCATTTTGCAAGTGAAGCTAAAGTAAACCTTAAGTTTTGGTCTCTTACCAACCTTCTTCCATATTGCTAGCATAACAACATAATTACACTTCTCCTTCTAAGTCAAGAGATCTCCTCCATTGTTGCTTCAGTCATTTTGTTCACTCAAAAAGGACTCATCAAAATGATGCCCCAGTGGTCCATAAACTAATATATATGGTACATTTATGGTCATCATGCCATCACCCAAACCAAGCTCTGTTTTTGTTGCCTATTATACTCATCTTCACTGAGCCTTGTTTTTGTGGAGCCAAATACATGTCTGGTTTTTTTTAATGGAGTATCACATTCCAAGCAATGTGACAAAAAGACATGGAGAACAGCCAATGGAATCTCACCTAAAACTTCCAATGACAATGGCAGGTGGAGAGATCCCATCCTGTGGAAGAAACACCAAGATAAAGAACAAAATAGAAGAAGCCTCTTCACTCTGTGGGGATGGAGTGTGGACAACAGTTTGTTCCAAAAGGCATCAGAGTGGTTTGGAGTGTTCTATGAATCTGTGTTGCTATGTGACCTTTGCCAAGATCATGCTTTGTCCTCTCTATCTTTTCTTGTTTGCTCTTTTGTAAGTAGGTGTTTTGTTTTATGCTACATGCACACTTGGGTGCATGCTAAGCAACACAGAGAGAATCATATCTTGGAAAATTAATGAGTTGTTGCCTTTCTTTTGCCAAAAACTAATAGGAGGGGCCAACCACTTGTATAGAGTCTCTAACATCTCACTCATGTGTAAAGCTATGTACATGAAGCCAAGTGCAAGATGATGATGCAAGTTACAATGAATACTTTTACTCAAAGACCCTTGAGAGAAATATTTAATTTGGCCTCTAGTTATTCCAAAATCTGAAATGAATTTATACTATCTCATCTATTGATTTAAGCTTTCAGATTAATAGACAAGAATAAAAAAATTAACATGGTATGATAGCAAGAGATAATAAGGTCGAGTCCCGAAAAACATAGTCTAATCGTCTTTTTTTTACTTCAGCATGTTAGGATCATTCACTGACTAAAACTTTGTTTTATTTTAGAAAATTTTTAATGTCTCATAGAGCTTAGATTGAATATGATTAAGAGTAATGCAAATGTAGTTTGTTTTAGTATAATAGCCTAAATTCTCTAAAATAATCTTCATGTAGAGCAATTGGTGTGAATATAGAAGAATTCCACAAGCATTGACTAGAAATTTGTGTTCAACCTCAGTGCAATGAATTCATCACAGAAACCCTGTTGGCATTGTCTGATACCTCAGTGCAATGAACTGAGCATGCAACAGTTGCTCTGGACCTATGCTGATGCATTAACATGAACTGTAGGCCCTTACAAATTTATGAACTGTTGACATCTAAGTTCTGCACAGTTGCATAGTGAGGTAGGAAAGATTACATATCAAGAACTTAATGTCATCTCTAGTTGTTATTGATCTGTCATGATTTTCGATACCATCATTTGATAACAAGATCTATCGGTAAGATATAATTTGAGTCAAATATTTTTGATAAGAACTTGATCATTTCTTGATGCCTCTGCTGATCTTATTTTCATGGCCTTCCAAAGATCAACTCACTCACATCACTCTACAATTTGTTTGCAATTACAGCAATGGTATCAGAATCAGATAGTCAGAACATCATGGTAAAGGTTGACCTCAAAGTATAAGAATCCAACATCAGAATCAGCAACAGCATCATGATCTCAGGACACTGTATCCCATGCTGGTGGTCAATGCACAGCTGAAATGATTGGTAAGCTGTTCACTTAACTTCAGCTCCATAAGATTATAGACAGTGTTTTAGCTGGACTGCAGCCAGCAGCAGCAAATAGTGGTCAGAAGCCATGGCTGAGTTCACGTCAAGGTTTCCTTTGATCAAGACATGACACAGAGCTTGTATTTGTTACTACAAAGATAGATATGGCTTGTGAAGGGTGGTCTGTTCTTGGTGACAAAGCAGGTGTGTGCACCAAGCATGTGATGATGACTCTGCTTGCTTGGCATTTTGCAGGCATTGCACAGTTGCTGTGGGTGGATCACATATGACTCAGCCATATGAACATGGATGAGGAAAAGAAAAAGATTGCATCAGAAAGCCCTGTGAAGTAGATTGTTGCTGCATCAGTGGATCACCTACTGTGCTGTAAGAACAGAAATCAGCAAAAGAGAACATATTAGAAGTACTCAGGCCTATGATTGCTGCTACCTCTGCAGACAGCTGAGCATTTGGGTCATTCAAAGAGCAAAGAAAAAGAAAAGATTCACATCTTTTCTTTCCCTCTCTTACAGGAAGTAGATCACAACCAGCAGAGTAAGATGTAAAGAGAGTTGGCAACAGTGAAAGCTGTAGGAAAAGGGAAACATCAGAACCTTTGTGGATTATTGTTTCATAGATGCAAATTGCAACACCACTTGGCCTTCAGATTACACAAGAGAAAAATAATGGGTAAATCATTGGCACAATATAACAATTCTTGATCCTAGGAATTGTATATGTTTTTTTGGGCTTCTGTTATGATTTGTACATGTTTAATTCCTTCATGTGATTTGCTTTTCTTTTCTTTTCTATTTTTCTAGATAGAATTTATAACAATAAAAAATCTTACAAAAATGATATTCATATATTCACTTAGCCATACATCTATCATAAATCAATAAATTCAACAAAAAATTAGATATTATTATAAAATTACTTTTGATGATAACTAATAAATAGTAGGATATGTGTATGCCGAATCTAAACTAAGAGATAAAAATAAAGATCATTAATTTCTGTATATAAAAAATGATATTAGTATGATCAGACTCATCCAACATTAGTGAGAATTTAAGTTCCACAATAGGCAATCTTTTTTAGTCATATGATATTAATTTTCAATGAGTAGACATCTCGACCATTAAAATCGATTAATAGATTATATATAATCGATTTGACTTATCATATAGAATTTATTATAATTTTTTAAAACAAGAAATCATAATAATGTTTAATCCCTACAAAGGATATAAATAAATATTATATACAATTTTCTTACAACAATAGTTGATTTCTATAGTAAAATTCATATTCTATATATATATATATATATATATATATATATATATTTCCAGGGTAGTACAGTCTTTTCACTGTGCGCTTCCACTGGCCGCATTATTGTTATAATAATAATAATAATTATTATTATTCACCCTTCGCTTTCACTCTCCTTCTGTGTTCCTTCGGAGGTTTTGGTTTGGTACTCGAAGACAGCTCTGTAGCGATCGATCGCTCGCCATGGTGTGATCTTTTGCAGGTTAAGCGCATCTCCTGCCTCGTTTGAGATCGGCCAACATCCTCCGAGTCCCTCGATCGCAGGACTATCTTTTGGCTCGCAGGTTAGGAGAGATCACACCTTCTTCTCCTCCACTCTAGAAAATCTAATCTTTTCGTGCGGGTGTCGAGGTTCTCAATCTGAGGTTGTGGTTGGCGGAGTGCTGTTTTATGTCTCTGGAATGGGAATGCGGGTACGTTAACTCTTTACGGTTGTAGATCTGAGTGAATGGGAGCTTAAAGGTTCGGTTTTTGAGAGGGTTTCGGTCGCTCTCGCGGGCGTTGCTGCTGCTGCTTGTTTGGTTTTCCTTCTGTGGAGTCGGATGTGCTTTCTGTTCCCTCGCTTGACCTTGATCCGGGCTTCGGTTTGTCCAGGCGAAGGCGCGTAATTAGGCGCGCTTGTGTTGATCGTCTCGAGGTAGTGGAGAGGTTTCCATTCGTATCAGAGTTGGTTGCTACGCTTTATACTATCTGGTTTCTCGTTCGAGGTTAGACGTGTAGGTATGTTGGTTTTCACTGAAATAGTTGTTGATGAAATGGGGAAAATGTGTCTTTCTTAACACTACTGCTACCGTTTAGGATCTTCTGGAGGTGGATCTGCGCAAAATTGAAAGAAAGGCGACCTTTTGGCACAGTCTTAGAACATCGAATGACCAACAAAATTTGAATTTTTTGGGAAATGGGATTTTATATTATTTGATCTGTCTATTAGATGTCTAATTCTTAATTTTTGAGAAATTGACCTTGGGAATTGTTTTTGTTCCGTAGAAATATATTAGCTAATTCCAGTACTTTCATTTTTAGTTAGATTTCAAATGTGACTCCAGAATGTCGTACTCCTGCTTCAACTTTTGTAGTTATTGGGATTTCATCAAGAATTCCACTGCAATACAAGGATTTTTGTCCCATTATGTTTGGTGTTAAAACTCTGTCTTAACTGAAAATATCTCCTTTTGACTTTATTCTTGTCATGGTCTTGATGGCTTTGCATCACTGCCCATGAAAATATGAATTGGTTAAAAATATTTTTTAATGCTTTTCATGATTTTTGTTCCTTTTTGGGCTGACCAGCACATGGAAAACAGCAACAACGAGAAAAAAGGAATTCTTGGAGTACATACTTTACGTGGAAAAATAAGATGATTCAGTGGCATTAGCTAATGATATTGCTTCATATCAGTTGCTGGTACAGACTAAGTTTGTTTAACAAAACCAATTTACTAACTGCCGTTATTTTTGTTTGCTGATCAACACTGGATGATGGAAATGATATACTTAATGATAGTAAATGATAATCTACTGTATATAGAATTGTGGTTTCTTATTTTGTGTTCTTATTATTTCTAACGGAACCTATAGTCCTAAATTCTCTGAAGATTTTGAGCATGATTATTTCATGCAAGATATGGTTCTGGCTATTAGGAACCTTTATACAGGCTGAATCAGCAGAAAAAGGAACTTGCCTAAACAAAAATCAATTCTTGAGGGGGATATTAGGAGAATCTTTGTATACTCTGAGGCTTGACTTCTAATTGTTCTTCTTTCTAACATGTGATGCCATGTTAACAAATCTGACATGATCTGTTTGTTTCATGATGTGCTACGAATTTAAGTTTTTGCTACAGATCAATCCCTAATTTGTTGCTTTTTTGAGTTTCATGCCATGTTAACAAATCTGACATGATCTGTTTGTTTCATGATGTGCTACATTTAAGTTTATGCTAGAGACCAATATCTAATTTGTTGCTTTTTGTAGTTTTTCTTTTCAACCATTGTTTTCCTAAATTGAAGTTCATGTTTCATTCTTATTCCAAAATTTAGATCTGGCTATGGTCACTTTTGTAATTTCTCTTTGTCTCTGTCATGTTAGAGAGTAATGAGATTAATCACAACTTTCAATTGTTGATGTTATCATCATAATGTCTTGACTAGTTATATGTCCTCTTTCTAATTAAACATATGTTGATGTATGAGTACTTGAGAGCTTTATCTTTGGATCGTTCAAGTTTAATACGGACAACTGAATTGTTACAAAATTTTGTTTTTGGATCTGAATATATGCTTGGTGGACATTTAGTACCAAATTATCATGGAGTACTGATTTGAGTCTTCCGAGTGTGATGGCAAGACCATATCATGCTTGCCTAACTTGGAGTTTTCTTTTTTTTTTTAAACCAAATTTGATGTAAAACCAGAATCACAGCCTAACTGCTGTGTTCTGTTGATGGTTGTCAACTGATGTTGAATCTCCACTTCTATTTGGGTTTGAGTTCAATAGGCAATCTTTAGGAGCTGCCAACTACAAGAGTTATTTAGAAAAGGTGGGACAGATTGTTGTATCAATTAACAGGTAATTAGTGGCAAACCAGTTATTATTGGTGTCAAACAAAGATCTAAAGGATCATTAGGAGGCATCATTGCTATGTGTGATAGAAGGTTGATGATGATGAACATGGATGACATTGTGCGAGAACTTGGAAATATCTACACACGCCTTACTTGGAAACTAAAAGTGGAAAAATAACAAATGTGAATCCCATATTCTCCATATATGGCTTGATGCTTGTATTTACCATAATTTATGCATTAATGACAATTCTTTTTTCTCATTTGGAAATTAATCTGGAAAGAAAGATAAAGGTTCTGATCCTATATTCTCAAGACAGCTTGTATGCTATCTGCAACTACCGTGTGGTTCTCTCTTGCCACAGTGGTATTGGAGAATGCGATATATTATCAACAATGGCTATATCTTTAGAACTGAGCAAGTTTCTCAACTATGTTTCTGCATGTATGGTTCTAGTGCATTTTGACATCGAACCCTGATGCATAACATTGTTCATTTGTTCTGTCTTGTCTTGCAATATGTTGCCCATTGTATTGCATGCTTCAAAATTGAGAACAAGTTTCTCAACCATGTTTTTGCATGTGTGGTTCCAACAATGCTTGTGATGGATTCACGATATCTGACATGGGTCGTTTGTTCTTGTCAACAGGCTCGATTGAAAAGAAAATCATTGCCCCATGTTTAGCTTGCAACTTTAGCCTCATATCAGCAGCACCAGCTATTGCAACTCATCATTGATCCCTTTGGATTATACTATTTTCTGGTGGTTTTTAAATAAGTAGTGGAGCCAGATTGGCAAAACTTGATGGGTTCCAGATTTCCATCACATCAGCTCAGCAATGGTCTGTATGTTTCAGGCCGGCCTGAACCACCAAAGGAGAAACCTCCAACAATGAGCTCTACTGCCATGCCATATACTGGTGGAGATATAAAAAAGTCTGGAGAACTTGGGAAGATGTTTGATCTCCATGTGGAGAAGTCCAGAAAATCTGGGCCTCTTAATGCCCCTTCAAGAAATACATCATTTGGAGGTTCTGCTTCCCATTCAGGCCCTATTATGCCTAATGCCTCTGGTCGGTCTAGCTATTCAGGTTCACTCTCTTCTGCAGTTCCAGGTGCTGGTCCTTCACTAGTCACTGGATGCTCCAACAGACAGAAATCTAATTCTGGGCCACTCAAACATGGAGACCCTGTTAAGAAGTCATCTGGTCCTCAGTCTGGAGGAGTCACTCCAATGGCACGCCAAAATTCTGGTCCACTACCGCCAGTGCTTCCAGCTACAGGTCTCATCACATCTGGGCCAATTTCTTCTGGTCCTCTTAACTCATCCGGTGCACCTCGAAAAGTATCTGGCCCTCTGGAATCTGCTGGATCAATGAAGCTACATAGCGCCTCCATTGTTCATAACCAAGCTGTTACTAAGCTCAGCCAGGATGATGACTATTCATTCAATGGGAGCTTGCCAAAACCATTCTTGTGGTGTGTGGGTTTATTGTTTGTGATGGGGTTTATTGCAGGTGGCTTCATTCTTGGTGCTGTTCACAATGCCATTCTCCTCATAGTGGTTCTTGTTATATTTGGGATTGTTGCTGCACTTTTCATTTGGAATGCTTGTTTTGGAAGGCGAGCAATCATAGGATTCATTGCCCGTTATCCTGATGCTGAATTGAGAACTGCAAAAGATGGGCAGTATGTAAAGGTTTCTGGGGTATGTAATTTTTCAAAAAACATAGCTTGTTTTCTTAGTAATATGGAAGTGGAAAAGTTAAAATTTGTTGAATTAAATATTTGGTCTCTTTACATCATTTTTTCACCATACAAGAAGGATTTGCAGTATGTTGTTGTTCGCTGTGCATGTTCTTTTTCAATCTGCCTATGAATTTGATTGCATGTTTTGGCCAACTTTGATATAAGATTTGGTCAAGTGTGCTATAAACTTTCAGATTTGCAACTTTGTTAAATTGTGAATTTCATGTTTCATGTCACACTGGAGATCACTAATTGCTTGCTTCCTGATTGATCTTTGGTTGAGGGTTTTTAATGGACAGTATAGAATGATTCATGTGTAATACTTCCGTAAGTTCTTGATTTATTTTAGTTAGTGCAATGGCAAATTACATACTGACTGGATGTTTCTTATTGAAATTTTATACTACTATTGCTGCTTTTTTGTGGCTATTGAGGCTTTTCTTGGTTTTGCGAAGATGTTTCTTTTTGACATTTTACACTACTATTTCTGCTATTTTTGGCTATTGAGGCTTTTTCCGCCAAGATGATAGACTTTAAACTTCCTGCAGGTTGTTACATGTGGAAATGTCCCTCTTGAGTCATCATTCCACAAAGTTCCTAGATGTGTGTACACATCTACTGGTCTATATGAATACAGGGGTTGGGACTCAAAGGCTGCCAATTCCCAGCATCGCCGTTTTTCTTGGGGACTAAGGTCACTGGAGGTAGTTATTAATTTTTGAAAATCAGTATAACCAATGAATAGTAGTGTTATTTGTACTGCCATGGTATGAAAACTATTTGGCATCGGAATTTATATTACAGTATTAACATATGTTTATTTTTTATTTTGATCCTGATCTGATGTTTCCAATTGAACTTTTTGAAACTTTGGCAGAGGCATATTGTTGACTTTTATATCTCTGATTTCCAATCTGGGTTAAGGGCTTTGGTCAAAACTGGTTACGGTGCTAGGGTGACTCCATATGTTGATGAGTCTATTGTCGTTGACATCAACCCAAACAAAGACATGTCTCCAGACTTTCTCAGATGGTTGAGGGAAAGGAACCTTTCAAGTGATGATCGTGTGATGCGACTGAAAGAAGGGTAATCTGAGCTTATGTTTCTTTGTTAAACTAGCGTTTGTTCCATTCATTCTATATTGAGGATGTTCATGTTCTTTTATCAGAATTGAAATGTAGAAGCAAGATGTTATGATTTTTTTTGCTTTTTCCACTGAATTTGGATAAGCTCCTGGTTCAGTGGTCTTAGTGCCAAGATACTAGAACTATGCATTAGCTTTTGATTAATGACTGATGGTTATGTTAGCGTATGACTAATTTGGCACAAGTTTTTGTTTGTAAACCATTAAATGTTTTGCCCTGCAGCTACATAAAAGAGGGCAGCACGGTTAGCGTGATGGGGGTTGTCCAAAGGAATGACAATGTTCTGATGATAGTTCCACCATCCGAGACATTTTCTACTGGGTGCCAGTGGGCTAGGTGCATACTCCCGGTAAACCTTGAAGGAATTGTGTTGAGATGTGAGGACACCTCAAAAATTGATGTCATACCAGTTTAGCAGATATTGTTTGTTTGTGGTCAAAACAGTAGCTAATTACATATGTCAGCTCCAGAATTTGTTTGTTGGCTGTTGGCATTTGCAATATCTCAATCGATGATGTTGTATGATGGATCTTAAGAAATGTTGTTTGCTTTTCTTGGGTTTGATTGTATAGCTTTATGCGTCTTTCCTTTTTCGTGAATTAAGCTTGAATATTTTGTAAGAAGGTTGGCTTGATCACTAAAGTTGAGATCTTTATTTGGAAGAATACCATCACTCATTTTGTGTTGTCTTCTGGTGTTACCTACGTGAATTATATATGACAAATCCATTTCATTCCCTGTGTCTGGTGGTTGTGGTTCAAATGGTGCTAAATTTGTTTGATTGTTTGCAGAGCAAGTTCCTTTGATTTAGTCATCAGAGGCATTTCCATGAGCAAACTTTTCTATGCCTCAACCTTCTCTATCTGAAGCATACTTGGTAAGCTTTCAATAAATGATTGATCATAAACTTAGCCAGTCTAACAAGGTTAGTGCTTAATGTATATGGCACTGCTTGCAAGATTTATGATAAGTCATCATGTCTACTCATGTTGCTAAATACAGGCTCTTTTTTCGCATTATATAAGATTTGATGTCAAAGTCTCGTCACTTCTAATTTGATTCAGTTGAGATAGATGAACATTCAACTTTCATGCCCACTCTTAACATACCTCAGACTCTGAACCAAACCCACTTGACAGTGTTTACATGGTTTTGGAGTTGCTGTCATTTTCAATCATCATCTTCTATAGCTGATGGCAGACCTTTGATTCCTTTTTGTTTTCTCTATTGGATATGATTTTTATTCATTATATGTTGATCACTTAGTATTTCTTGTGCTTAGATGCTTCTTCTTTCTGTACTTTTTTCTTTTTTCCAACCTGTGGTAAATTGAAGATGGGAGTGCTACCTTTTGTTACTTCTCTTTTCCAGCTTTAATTTGGCAATGTTTGATTTGATAGGCCATGTTGTTGATAGTGTTGGTGCATGTCAGGTATAGCATCTCTTCCTTTTCCATGTCACTTTTATGTCCATGTTCTTAGTTGCTGCCACACCTCAGTACCAAAGCATGATATGTATTGTTCAGATGTCTGGATATTTTCTTAGAAATGACAATTAACACTGACTAAAAAAACACCTCAATTGAGCACACACCAATAGTTCATAAGCTGTTCATAACCAGTTATAAACTGCCCATTTTCACCACCATGTACTTACTTATCAACTGTTTGCTGCAGACATTCCACAAGTGAGCACAGGAGATGCATGCTTAGAGACAGAATCCCCAGTGGCTGGCAATAATTTCCATGCTCAATTATGCATATCCATCTCATCTCTCACAAGCCACAACAGTCATCTGCAGACAGAGGTTCACCTACTGGAAGCTTGGATGAAGAGTTGACATCCATAGTCTGACATCAGAACAGATCAACATCTTAGAATTTAGTGACTACAAAACCTGGGGAAAATGCCATGAAAACAGTGTCATGATCAACATCCACAAGAAAGAGTGATAGATGCAATGCAAGAAACACTTTTTTATCTCAGACACCATAACACATAAATTGTGGTAGAATGTATAATAACATGATTACGTTAATGCATTCTTTATTTCATCTCCTAAAACTAGAGACTCCTAATACAAGTGCTTCTACATCATTCATTTTATTGTTTGGTGCACTGCAATGTTGAGACCTATTCGACAACCTCTTAACATCCTTGTCTTTTACATTGCAGGATCTCTAGCTAGCTCAGCAATGATCCGATACACTTGGATTCACAGAAACATAGCAGCTGATCATACATGCTCAAACTCTTGGATCTGTCATCCTATGAGTAGAACAATGGAGTTCTCGGTCTTGTAATATTTGGATCGGCTTCACGAAATGATGCAGTGGCTTCTCGAGGCATCAAATGCTCGAAGGTGGCTTCGATCTTTTCCTTCAGATGAGCACTCTGCCCTCCATCAACCTGAACGTGTCGAGCACTTGTGTCATTGAATGGGGAGAGAGAGAGAGAGAGAGAGAGAGAGAGAGACCTCGACCATTAGAGTGTGGAAGACCATTCCGGATCTAGACGCGACACTGGCAGCGACGATCCTGAGATCGAGAGACTCGACGACCTCACACACGCGAACCATGGCATGCCTCTTCTTGCTGCAAGTGATGATGATGACAGAGATCCCATTGCCCAACTCACGCACGCTGACCTGCACACAGTGTCAGAAACGACGACGTCACTCGACGGCCGCACTTCACAGCACCTCCACCGGACTACACCAACTTCACGACGGCAAACTCACTTCCATCGCTTCCACGGACGGCATCATCGGCAACTCAAGTTCGGCACTGCACGAGCTCCGTGGCGCCGTTCTCCACTTCTTCGCTTGTGCACGGCAAAGCTGTCCATCGACCGGTGCAACTCTCTTCCTGTGAGACTCCTGCTCCGATATCTCTTTCAGCAGTGATCTCTCTTGCTCTTGGAGCTGTTGGATGTAGTTGATCGCGTCGAAGATTATCGACGCCTTGCTCGTCTGCACTCCAAACACTAAGATTAGATGCATTAGTTGCAGAGACACAGCAGCAGTAGCAGCAGCAGTGCTCTTCACCTTTGTCATGTTGGGGACTACACTCCGGAGATTGTACAGCTTTCTGTTGAGCTTTTTCCTCCGTTCCCGCTCCATGATGATGGTATTCGGTAGCGCCGAATGAGCGGCCATGTCCGGCGAGCTGGAGTTGCAGTACCCGGACAAGGTTTCATCAAATCCCAAGCTGCTTCGTTCCATGTTCAGTAGGAACAGAGGTGAGAGACTGAAGGGAACACTAAGAATGGAAGACGAACACGACAAACATGCAAGGCTGGAGTGTACCTGCAGAGCTCCTCCGCGTCTAGGAGACACTTGATCTCCCAGTAGTTGGCATACTCACTTGGATCGGCGTCCATGAGACCAAGAAACGCACGGATGCTCTGATCCACTGCGTGCTGCTGCACCCGTATAAATCCTCTCGAGTCAAGTCGACGGACAGAGACCAACGGAGGAGTCGTTACACGCCAACCTTCCCCTTCGTCGTACGAAGCAATGGTACATCGGTCTTCCATTTGGCCGGTGTTCCCGCTGTTGCCGCCCACTGATACAGCCAAACCGGACTTTATTTTCGCTCTGACATTGACGTGTTATGATCCGAAGAACGTTAACTTGTCTTCGACAGGGACGGCGCGGGTCATCTGTTTAACGTGTGAGATATAAAGAAAAATAATTTTTATATATGAGAAATAAATATTAACATATTATAACGAAATTTAATGGAACAACAATCAAATAGAATATCAAGATATATGTGAAAAATCTTTTGAATGTGAAGGGTAAAAATCATGGAGCAAATTAGAGATAATTCACTATAATAATAATAAATATATAAATCTTAATCTCTCGTTGAAAATCTTATCAATAATCATAAGAGAATAACTGGGATATAAGAATCATGTCAATGTGCATAATATTTAAATTCTCCATAATTCTTCTTAAGTAATCATAGTAAGAATCTACTGTAGATCTGATCAAACCTGAGATGAAAGTACTATAAAATGATTGAGAATGATCCCTTTGTATTATCCTTGTCTTCTTCTCTTTCTTTCTTTTTCTTTTCTGTTTTGTTCTTCTTCTTTTCTTTGGAATCCCGTGATTGTAAAAAACTATCTAGTTGTATCTTTTTCTACCTCTTTTTATAACCACCACACCTCCTAATATAAATTAAGATGAACTGTAAGCCGATAAAGCCTGCCTTGGAGGGTTGTCAGTCCAACAACGCCCTCCCTGTAGCTCCCACAACCAACGACCTCCCCTCCCACAGTCATTTCGTCGAACACCTGGTTAAGAAACTTGCTTCGTTCCCATCTGCTTGGCTGCATATGAATCACGTTGATCGACCACAGCTGGTCAGACCAACTCCAAATCACATATCACATCAAGAGGAAACATATGGACGCGCACCGACGACTACGGGGGCGTCTGCATTGTTTCATCTACAGATATCAGCGGCAAAATTGACCAACGGAGCGAAGCACGAAGACCACGCGATCTGTGTCCGTCTCCAAGAAGACTTGCGCTCTGTTGTCGGGGATCCTGCGGTCACGTAGGGAGATGAAGACGGGTGTGAACTCCATGAACAGATGTCGTTCTTTGATTCTGATCTCAATTAACCCCATACTATTTACGTCAACGTAAGTTCTCGTCTAATAAGACACGATTATGATGGGACGGTTGTCCTATTTTTGCTTTTATTAAAGCACATCTTCACCGTCCACGGTACTCCCCGGTTGCGGATGTCGTGACCGCATAGAAATCCAAGAAGAGTCTATGCGAGAGTGCTCGATCCACCGTCCATAACACCAAAGATGACTGATCTGGTGAAAACACGTACGTCAGATCTGTAGCGGGGAGACGCCAACGTCCGCATATGATTTTTATGTGCAAATGCGATCTCCCTCTCAATTCTAGGGTTTGGGTTTCCTGGGATTCGTTCGAGAGAGATGAACGGCGTCGATGGCATCGTGCAATCTGGGATGGAGGAGTGACAGTGGCGTCCATGCGCGATGGTGTAGCGTCGGAATGGGAGCGGCGAGAGCGAGGGATGGAGTTGGAAGGGCCGTTCGATGCGCTCGTCGTGCCCCAGGGCCCCAGGATGTCTGATGTTTATGCGTATCTAAAGATCCAATCTTTGGGCATTGATTGTCGTCCTTGCTGACTTTTGTGCGTTAATTCACACTGGCAGGTTGAAGCCGTGCTCTTGTCGCTTGAGGGGTCAGAGATGAGCCTTGGATTGAAGCTTTTTCCGTCATCTTCTACGGAGAACAGGGTATTTTGTTGACGCACTAAGAAGTTATTGATTGAATCCTCTGCCACCATAATTATTCTTAGGATTACAGTTTTTTCTCATGCTGCTCATCATTTTTTTCAGTTTCGCATCAAACTTTAACATCATAATTTTATTTATACTTATTAGAATTTTAAGCATAACCTAACAAGATATATTTCTAATTTTTATTCTCAAATTTTGTTTTCTTTTCTTCTATGTTGATGTAACACTTCCAAAAATTCTCAAATAGTATAACATTACCAATTTTTTTGTTAGTGTTAAGCAAATAAACTGTACAAACAATAGTATTTTTTCAAGATTCTTTAGGGATCCTTCTTTCTGATGTGCATTTCAAAATGTTCTTTGTCGACATTGAGAACATAAGGACGTTTGCTTACTTCGTCTGCAATGTAATCTTGAAGAATTTTGTATGATATGGTACCTTGTTGGTTTTGCTTTGAATTATAACTTGGTCATGTAAAAGATTTCAACAAACATTGGATGGCTCAGTTTTGGCACTCCCAACTGTTAGTAACTTATTGTATCTTGACGGTAATCTCATTGACTTTGTTGTAGCTAATTGTCACTCCCCTTCTTGTCTAACAAATTAAAGGACTTAAAAGTATTATTTATGTCCTAAATACAATATGAACTCATTATTTAGGTAATCTCATAACTTGAAAAGGCAG